CGTGTGCCCTCATCTTGTCTTTCTAGGGCCTTTATGTGCCTGTTTAAATCAAAGTATTTAATTTCTTCTGGAAGGTAGAGAATCAGAAATACAAAAAAATTGGGGCAAGATTTCAGTTTAGGCCAAAATTTTGCCCACTTTAAAAGCATCTTGGGCTGCTGAATAAAAGATAGATTGGGACAAAATGGCAGCTTAATTTTAGATCTGACTGATTCATTTCTTAATGGATGGTTGCATTGTATTTTGAAGTATTATGACTGTTCAGAATATCAGACACATCTGTATTAAATGCAAATGTGGTAAAGGCTGGATGGTTTGGGGCATGTCTTAAAGAAACCTTTCGTGTTTCATTTGGACCATGCCTTTATCTCCAGTCAGTATCTTCAAGTGACTAATCACACTTGACAAGTGAACAAGAGGTAAACAATATTAGGGAAAACATGTAGACTCAAGCTTATGCATATTTGTGAAAGAAATAAAAATTTAGAATAAAACAAGTAAGTAATTCACTTTGAAATATTTGTAAGCATAAAAATCAAGAATCAAACCCAGAAATAACTGGCTTGCTTTACATACCCTTGAAGATGAATAAAAATTTCTAGTTATATAGATAGCTAAAATCAAGAGAATACAATGTTATTATTTTAGAAAAAGTAAAATGAAACAATTATACCTGGCACAAAGTGCTTAGAATATTGTAACCATTATCATTATTCCTATATTTCCTAAAACTGTACTAAAGGAATTAATTTAGGTTATCCTTTGTAATTAGATTGGGATATGGGCCAGTGAACCAGTTTTTATCAGCTATTTGCATATTAAGGATCTGCCTAAGTTTTCTTTCAAAAAAGAAGGGACAGTGAAACTTCCAGGCAGATCACTGCATCATGAGACTCCTCCCCTAACTGTGAGCCTTTGCCCTGTAACGGGAGGCGAGGCTGCCCACCTAAGCAGAACAACCACCTTGCCTCATAAAGCAGTGGAGACTCGCCTCCGCCCCCCAGGCTGCAGAATCTCAGAACTGACAGGCCTGCGATCGTGATCGGACAGACCATGGTTTGACCAAAACTTCTGCGTACTTACTGCACCTACTGCACACAACGTGTGTTCCCCTATTGTAATCTTAAAGCTTTCATTGATATCCCCCAAAGACTGAGAATACACTGACATCCTATATTTTCTGAGAGTAAGACTTAAGAAGAGAACAAAAAATAGTAACAAGGTATAATTACCACAGTAGTTAAGTTGGCCTGCATCAGAATTCTAATCTGTCATTTATTAGTCATTTGAATCTGAGCCTTTAAATCTCTCAGTGTCTCAGTTTTTACATCTGTAAAAGGGGAAAAATATTACCCACCTTATTCTGAAGATTATATAAGTTCACATAACTAAAGCACTTTATTTCCACGTATGAAGTGCTTTGCAGGTCTCCCTGCAGTGGTGGTTGATGTGCTCTCAGAACTCTGTGCTAGTTGAAGAAGAACATCACTCAAGTAGGAGAGTTTTTCATTTGAGCATTTATTTTCTCTGTGGTCAGAAATAAATAACTGTGTTTTTTGGGTTTTGGTTTTTGGTTTTTTGGTACCGGGGGTCAAACTCATAACCTAGCACTTGCCAGGCAGGCACTTATGCTGCTGAGCTAAATGCCCAGGCCCAAATAACTGTGTTCTTAAACATCAGAAATAAAATTATGTTCTCCAGAAATAAAATTCCCTGAAAATCTAATTTGCAGAATTATATCAACTACATTAAGTTCTTCAACATTTAGAAAGATATTTGTATTTTCTTCTCTACTTGATTAAATAGATGAGTAAATAGTACAAGACATGCCATTTCAAAATACAGTGATTTCCATTAGTTTATTTTATATAAAAGTACTTAATCTCCTTCAATACAGTTTGGTTTCAAACTTTGATACAAAATGCTTGCACTTTTCATAAGTGATTTTGAGGAAAATATAGTTCATGTGCCTTAATTTTGGCAGTTATGGTGCCAAACATATAGTTTTAATGTAATGGAACCATACTTAATCTTTTCTCTGGGTGAATAGAATCTTTGGAGATTGCTTCTTCTCCAAGTCAAATCTCCATAGAAGCGATGTGTTAAATGACATGATGGGGTCAGCACCTAGGCTTTCTGATTGGCTAGCTGTCATTATAGTGGCACTATTTCTGTGAAAAGTGAGACTGTTTACAAAAGAAACCCTAATATGACTGTCTTGATTGGCTTGTATTGTTAATGTAATGCAGTTCAATATTTATTGAGTCACTCTCTCCTCTGGTACTGAGGAATGAAGCCAGGGCCTTTGCACTGAGCTCCAAATCCTTAGCCCTTTTTATTTGTCATTTTGAAGCAGGTTTTACTGAGTCACTAAGGTACTCATACTGGGCTCAGACTTGTGTTCCTCCTGTCTTGGCCTCCCATAGTGCTAGGATCACAGCTATGGTCCCCCATGCTGGCTCCTGCTCAGTTCCTGTTGTATCCCCTAGACCAGGAAAGGAGTAATACACAAGGAGAGAGAATAAAAAGTATGATCTGTCCTATGAAAATTATATTCCCTTAATCAAAGAAAACACTGTGTCGAACATCCATACACCTATCAGCTATGAAACTTTGAGCAGGTCATTTACAATTTTTTAACTTTCTCATTTATAAAATAAGGATAGAAATTACTTTATAAATTGTTAGATTAAAATTAGGATATATAGCTGGGCGTGGTGGCTCATGCCTATAATCGCAGCACTCAGGAGGCTGAGGCAAGAGGATCATTGTGAGTTCGAGACCAGCCTGGGCTACAAAGTGAGCTCAAGGCCAGCCTGAACTGCATAGCAAGACTGTCTCAAAAAGACAAAAAAAAAAAAAAAATAGGATATATATATGAAAGTACTTTGAAAACTGAAAAATGTTATATAAATATAAAAGATTGGGCTGGGGATTTAGCTCAGCAGCATAAGCGCCTACCTTCTAAGCACACAGTTGTTGAGTTCAATCCCTGGTACCAATAAAAATAAATTTAAAAGATTAATGTTGCCAGGGATTTAGCTTAGCAGTATAAGCACCTGCCTCACAAACGCATGGTCATGAGTTCGATCTCCGGTACCAAAAAAAGATTAATGTCAGCGTAATAATTTGCTATCACAAAAACTAAATATATTTAGAACTGTATAGTGTCAGAGCCAGTCTGTAAGTGTCAAAAAATGCTGCTGAACAGGAGGCAGGGAGAGAGTTCAATGCGTTGACACAAAGTGGTGACTTACACAGAAGTCTGACCACAGGCTAACCCTTGAAGGGAGATAGGAGGATAACTTGAGCAAAGAAATGGAGTTTACAAAATAAGTTTATATTGCTCTAGAAGCAATAAAATGACTGGTGGGAAATAGAGTAAAATTTTGAACATGTTAAGAATGTAAATTTTACTTTTTAAAGTAAATAATTCAGTGGATCACTCCCAAAGTTGTGCATTTGTCACCTCTAACTTCATTTTCTTTCCACCCAAAAGAAACCCCAAACCCACTGGCCATCACTCATTCCTCCTAATCCTCCATCACTCATGCCTCCTAATCCTAGCCATTGGCAACCATAAGTGCACTTACTGTCTTAAAAAAGTAGGCTATTCTGGCCATTTCGTATTTAAAAAAATCAGTCTGCACCTTTTTTGTGCCTGGCTTCTTTCACTTGGAATAATGTTTGAGAGGTTCATTCATGTTGTAGCCTATATCAGAACTTTATTATTAGGGCCAGGGATACAGATCAGTGGCACAAGTGCCTGCCTGCCTGGCAAGTGCAAGGTCCTGAGTTCAGTTCCCAGCGGGGGGGGGGGGGGGGCATGGACCTTGATTGTTTTAGGACTGGTTAGTTTTCCATTATATATCATTTTTACTTATCCATTCATCAACAGGTGAACATTTAGGTTGTTCTCACATTGATATTACAAGTAATTTTGTTCTAAGCATTTATATACACATTTTTGTTTTGTTTTTCTTTGGTGGGGGGATTGCTTTTTGTTTTGGTACTGGGGACCAAAGCTCACGGTCTCATACTTGCCAAGCAGGCATTTACGCCACTGAGCTAAAACCCCAACATTTTTATGTGGACGTAAATTTCCATTTGGTTAGGTTGCATATACCTGGTAGTGAAATTGCTGATGATATGCTAATTCTATGATTAACTTTTTGAGAAACTACTAAATTCTTTGCAAAGTTCCTGTAGCATTTATATTTCCTCCTGAAATGAGTGAGTCACAATCTCTATCTTTACCAATGCTTGTCTCTTTTATTTTAGCTCTCCTATTAAGTATGAAGTGGGATCTTATTGTAGTTTTGATATGCATTTCCCTAGCGGCTAATGAAATTAAGAATCTTGAATTGTGTTTGCTTGTTCACCCATTAAATATTCACAAAGCCCCTTCCTTGCTTTCTATTTCTTCATAATATTGGTTATAAATGTATTACTTTTATGCACTAGAATATACTTCAGAGAGCATCTTAATGTTTTAAAGTACAGAATTCAAATGCAGACTTGCCAAAATAATTTAAAGTGCAAATTAACATTCACTATGCACTATGTAACTGAATATTTCTTTGGGGGGAGTGTTTGTTTTGTGTTTTGAGAGAGGATCTCACTATGTGGTCTGGGCTGGCTGTGAACTTACTGTGTAGCCCAGACTGGCCTTAAACTTGCAGCGATATTTTTGACTCAGCCTCTCAAGTGCTGGGATTACAGGCGTATACCACTATACCTGGCCATATTTCTTTTCTTTCTTTTTTTTTTTTTTTTTTGTGGGGGTGGGCGGGGGACTAGGAATCGAACTCATGACCTCACACTTGCCAGGAAGGCACTGTGCCGCTGAGCTATATCCCAGGCACCTGGCTGTATTTCTTAAATATGCTTTGCATCAACTTGAAGAAAATAAAAGTCATTTTTTAAAGTTTTCTATTATATGTTCAAATAACATTTAGAGTTAATATATCCCTGTTGTTTTTGTTTGTTTTGCTTTTCAGGTTTACTATATTATGCAGGACATGGTTATGAAAATTTTGGGAACAGCTTTATGGTTCCTGTTGATGCTCCAAATCCATATAGATCTGAAAATTGTCTGTGTGTACAAAATATACTGAAGTTGATGCAAGAAAAAGAAACTGGACTCAATGTATTCTTGCTGGATATGTGTCGGAAAAGGTAAAACATCTTATCTTCATTGATCAGTTGTTGGAGTTAAATAGCAGCTTAGCTAAGCTTGAGGCAAACCTTGAGATGCTAAGAACTATTTGAATTTCTGAATTGCTGATTATACATTGAAACTTAAATCTAGAGGAATATGCTTTTCATGTATATTTTTAACTCCATTCCTGTTTTCAGTAAAACAAAAATGAACTACCTTGTGATCTCAGTGGCACAGGCACCTGCCTGGCAAGTGCAAAGTCCTGGTATTAATAAGAAGAAGAAATAAAAGGCATGGATGTGTACTCATACTTTAAGGAACCAATTCTCCAGAATGCCTATGCATGTCTCTAACCGTCACTGCATTTTCCTTCAGGAATTAATAAAACTACACCTATAAAACATGGTTGAGGGAGCTGGGGATTTAGCTCAGCGGCATAAGCGCCTGCCTTGCAAGCAGGCAGTCGTGAGTTTGATCCCTGGTACCGATAAAAAGGAAAAAGGCAAAAAAAAAAAAAAAAAAAAAAAAAGTAAATTTAAAACATGGGTGAGGGGCTGGGAGTTTAGCTCAGTGGCACAAGTGCCTGCCTGGCAATTACGAGGTCATAAGTTTGCTCCTTGGTACCAAAAAAAATTTTTAAAAAGGCATGATTGATCACTAGTCAGCTCTGGTCTTGTAAATATATAGCTGAAGCAGATTTTCAAGGGTTTGGGTTCCATGTGTTTATCACAGAATCACTAAAGTACAATGATTATTCCTTCAGGATTTACTGTTTTTTTGTATGTTCAATATTTACAATCAAAATGCAGTGCTAGCATTCAAATGCAACTCCTTTTACAAAAGGAAGGATGTGACTGCTTTCTTAATAGTGTAGGAACTCCAAGTTATTTTTGATAAATATGTAGCTGACTAGACAAAAGATTTTAAATCTGTCATTTTAAATTATATATACAAAAATGGTATTTTTATTGTATTACTTACGTTCTTAGCAAATGCTCTTTAACTTTACACGTTTGCCCTGCCTCTCTCTCCTTACCCCTCTCTTAAATAGAAATGACTATGATGATACCATTCCAATCTTGGATGCACTGAAGGTCACCGCCAACATCGTATTTGGATATGCCACGTAAGGACACTTTACGTTTGTGCTGAGACTCCTTATTCTTTAATGCCTTCTGTTTGATGGTATGTTAGAAACCTAGAAGCATCCATGGACATCTAGGCATAAATTTCCCTTCTCAGTATTTTGCGCAAAGCTTTGTATAACTGACTTTAATACTTCATGACTTGGCATCTTGTCACTAAGCACCAAGGCATTTAGTTCCCATTGAGAGATTAACTCTTAGAAGAGAGAGTGAGGCTCAGGCTTATTAGTATATATGTACATGCCATGTGGCGAGTGTTTGCTTCTTCACAGTTTTCTTTCTTTTTAAATTTATTTTCTATTGCAGGTTGACTAATTAAATCGTATATATTAATGGATGCTATATGTGTACAGTGTGGAATGATTGAATCAAGCTAATCACCCCAGATATTTACCATTTATTTTTCCTGTCTGTCTAAAGCATTTTGCCTTTTGAATTGCCTTTCCATATTCCTCCCACTTTCCAGCCTCTAGTAACCACCATTTTGCCTTCTGCTTCTGTGTGTTTGGTTTTTTTAGTGTCAACATATAAGAACATGTAGTATTTGTCTTTCTGTGCCTGGCTTGTTTACTTATTTCTTTTGCTGTTCTTAAGGTGTCAAGGAGCAGAAGCTTTTGAAATCCAGCATTCTGGATTGGCAAATGGAATCTTCATGAAATTTTTAAAAGATAGATTACTAGAAGACAAGAAAATTACTGTGTTACTAGATGAAGTTGCAGAAGGTAAAGTTAAAAAGTAAAAAAAAATAGACCACTCAAGAAAAAGAACAGGAGAAAACCCTATTTGTGGCTTCCTGCATGTTGATTATTGTATTCCGACTGTTGTGTTTGGAATTGGTGTTTATTTTATAAAACAATTTGCAACATAGTATCTGATAACATTGTTCTTCTGCTGTTGAATTCCTTCCTTCCCTGTTGACTTAGCTGCATATCATATATGCATATCACTTGGACAACCCGGCTGACAACTAGTATAGTAAGGTTTAATCCTCAGAGCTTTACCTTATTTCTATGCCTAGCGCCTAGCTCAGTCTGCTTGTTTGAAAAAGAAGAAAAAGTGTCCAATGAGATACCTCCCCCACCTTTAGAGAAAAAAACTGCAGAAATATCACCAACTGAATATAACCCAGTTCTTTTCTTAATGAGCTTAGTGGTTTTTAAAGTCCTTCTTTAAGAATGAGCTCTAGACTATTAATGCCATGTCTTTATGCACGGCCTTCTGTCCCTTTCTCTCCCTACTGGTGAAATACCAAAGCTCATGTCAGGTGTTGAATATATATGCCTGTTAACATCAGTAGATTGCAGTGTGTTTATGAAACACCCTTGTATAAGTCATACTAAAAGAGAATGTAACACTTTTACAAACTAGCACCACTAAAAAATAGTTTCATGAAATGTTCCAGAGATGGAAGCTTGAAAATAGTGTTTCACTAACGGCTCTCAGTCACATTTTTCATGTTTTTGTCAGTGTATATATTTTAGTGAGACTACATGATTCTACTTCTCAGCACAGCCTGCCAAGGCTTAGAACTTCCTTCCACCCTCCAGCTTCAACCAAAAAAGTTCTGCTTTTATCTGTCTTGCATACTGAGCTTCTCTTTAATCTGTCACTTGATAGATCAGACTCTTTTGTTTTTGCCAAATCATTGTGAATGGTATCTCATACGATCTTGATTTGGTTTTCCTGTACATTAGTGATATTGAACACCAGCTCATATTTTCAGTACACCAGCTATATGTGTATATCTTCCTAGGAGAAAAATCTATCCATATGTCTTGTCCATATTTTTATTATGCTGTTTTTGCTTTTCTTATTGGTTAAAGGAATGTTGCATATATCCTTGATATAGTATTAGCCAAGACTTCTAAGATACTGAATACAAATTGTAATGATGGACATCCTTGTCCCATTTCTGATTTTAAAGGAATTACTGCTAGTGTATTCACACTTAGTATAATGGAAGTTTTTAATAGACAGATCTTTGGAGAATTTTTAAGTGGATGTTGAACATAGTAAATGGTTTTTCTGCAACTATAAAGAAAATATTATTTTCTTTTAATCTCTATGATTAAATTTATAGAATGTCTAATGTTATTTTAACTTGAGATAAGTTCATTGGGGTATATTTTTAAAGCTAGTAAACTTACTTTGCTAACATTTTGCTTAGAACTTTTGCATCTACATAATATGAGAAATAGGCCTGTAACTTTATACTTTCTCATACTTGGCTTCATTATATTTGGCTTGATTTTGTAATCAGCATTATGCTGGCTTTTTAGAATGAGTTGGATGTTAGATTGTTAATTTTATACCAACCTGACTGGGACTGACTGGACCTCAGTGCCAAGATACTTAGTCCAACATTACTCAGGATATTTCTAGATGTTTGTTTATTCTGGATGACATTAGAATATAAATCGGTGAATATTCAGTAAAGAAGATAACTCTTATAAGGTGGTAGGCCTTCTCCAGTTAATGGAAGATCTACTAACAAATCTGACCTGAGCAAAGCAGGAAAGAATCAACTGGCAGATTGCCTTTGGGGCTCAGACTCCAGGCTTCACAGTATCATCCCCAGCCTGTCTACCTACCCTGCAGATTTCTTTTCTCTTTTGTTTTCTTTTCTTTTCTTCTCTGGTCTTCTCTTCTCTTTTTTCTTTTCTTTAGTTTGAGACAGAGTCTCACTATGTAGTTCAAGCTGGCCTTCAACTCACTGTGTAGGCCAGCCTGGCCCTGAATTTATGACAGTCCTCTTGCCTCAGCCTCCCAAGTGCTGGAATAATAGGCATGGGCCACCGTGCATACCCTGCAGATTTTAGACTTGTGCAACACAGCTGCATGAGCCATTTCCTTAAAATAAATTAACTTCTACTTCCACCTCGCTGTCCATGGACAGACACACTCACACGCACACACTCACAGATGCACAGACACAAATAAATACATATCCACAACACATCTTATTACTAACCATTTCTCCAGAAAATCTTAATTCAGTGGTATTCCTTCTTGGGAAAGAAGTGTTCTGGGAAATTTTGTATAAAATCTCCTGAACATTTTGATAGTACTCTTCTGGTATTTTCTTGATACTAAGATTTTCTAACTACTACTTTTTCAAGATTATGGATATTGAGCTAGGGATATAGCCCAGCAGAAGTGACTGCCTATTAAATACAAGGTCCTGAATTCTGTTTCTGATACAAAAAAAAAAAAAAATGGACATTTCTTACACTATGTAAGCTTTTTATATGTTTGTTGAGACAACTTTGGTAACATTTTTTGGGTAGTCTTCAAAATTGTTGGAGTTTAGTTGCTCATAGTTTTCTCTCACAGGATAATTTACGGATTATCAGTAGTAACAAACCCTTTTCATTAGTATTACTTATTTGGGTCAGTGATTTTATTTTCCTAGTTAATAATCTTGCCAGAGTTTGTCACATGCTGTTTCTTTTCAGAGAACCTACTTTTAGGGCTGGGCATGGTGGTATACACCTGTAATACTAGCACTCAGGGAGGCTAAGGCAGGAGGACTGCTGCAAGTTTGAAGCCAGCCTGGGCTACGTAATCTTTCCAGGTCTAGCCTGAACTACAAAGCAAGACCTTGTCTCAAATAAAAGAAAACACCAACCTTTGGCTCTGCTTTCCTCTATTTTTCATTGTCTTTTGTAACATTTATGTCTATTCTTTATGTCTTTCTTGGTTTCTTTGATTCTATTTTGATGTTATTCTTAACAACAAATAGTTGTAATAGTGATGTCTCCAAATTTTATATTATAGTAGTAGAACTCCATCTCAGCTTTTTGTTAATGAGATGTTACTTTATTCATTTACTTCCAGGCATTTTTATGTCATTCTGCTTTGGTTGTAGGTTTTGGAGGTAGCAAATCGTAGGTTTTTGTTTTGCTTTGGCTTTTTTTATTTGTTTGGTTGGTTGGTTTGGTTTAGAAAATGGATCGAACTCACAATCTTGTGCTTACCAGGCAAGCACTTGAGCCACTTGCATCATTTTTTGAGACAGGGTCTTGCCGTGTAGTTCAGGCTGGTCTTGAGCTAATGTACATCTCAGGCTAGTCTCAAACTTGAGGCAGTCCTCCTGCTTCAGCCTCCTGAGTACTGGGATTTAGGTGTGTACCACCACACCTGGCAATAATAGATTTTTAATTCAGTTTTTTTTTTTTTTAAGGGTACTGGGAATTGAGTTCCACCTTGTACTTGCCAGGCAGGCACTTCACTGCTGAGCTAAATCCCTGGCCCTAATTATACAATTTTTTAAGAATCCAATTTGATAATCTCTTTAAACTAGAAAATTTAGTTCACTTTATATTTGTTATTTTGTGTATGGATTTTAACCATCTAATTTTTTCATTTGGCTCATTTTTCTTTTTCATCTTTTAAGAAGTTATTTCTATATTTTCTATGTTCTAACAGCTAATAATAATTTCAGCATGTACTTGGAATCTTTGGTTTCTCCACCCTACCCTTAACAAGTTGGTCTAACTTAGACTTAGTTCTGAATTATTTTGGGAGGATGTGTATGTGTGTGTGTGCCCTTGTCTGTTCATATGTATGTGTGTATATATGTATGTGTGTGTGTGTGTGTGTGTGTGTGTGTGTGTAAGTGTACATTTAAAGAAAAACCATGGAAAAACGTTAACACAGATTTGGAATCTTATATGTGTGTATATGTATATATATGTATATAAAACGGATGAAATCTTAAGTTTTATACATTTTTCGTACCCTCTCAAGGCTAGCTATTATTGACTTTATTTGTCCATTTATTTATTTATTTACTGTGTTTCCCTGCCTCACCCTCCCAAGTAGCTGGGATTACAGGCACTTACCACTACTCTGAGCTCAACTTCATTATTAATAATTAATAGCAAGTATATAGGACTAAGGTAAACTGTAACTTATACAGATATCTGATAGTTTTAAATCTAAATTGATGTTTATCAGTTAATGAAAATGTATATCTAAAACATTTTAGATGAAAACAGCATATTACACATCATGTTTATTATGTAACATTTCTGTTAAATTCAAAACCAAAAATGGCAAATGGCACATACTGCTTACAGACACCTACATATGAGTAAAAATTAAGATACTCATGGAGTGTGCACCCTGCCCTGGGTAATGGTAATTACTTCAAGTAGGTGGAAGGAAATAGTGATAATCTGGCCAAATGGATAGTTTTAACACATCATATCCTGTTTTAACAATAAAGAGATCTTGGACTGGGGATATAGCTTACTGGCACAGCACCTACCTAGCAAGCAGGAGGTCCCAAGTTCAATTCTCAAAACTCGCCAAAAAAAAAAGAAAAACAAAAAGAACTCTTAGTTAAGCTGAAGCACAACGCTAAATACCCGGAATCCCAGATAGTCAGGAGACTGAGCCAGGAGGATCATAAGTTGAAAGCCAGCCTAGACAACATGGAAAGGTCTTTCTCAAAAACAAAAATTTCTTTAAATGCTGGTAAAACAGCTCAGTGTAGAGTGCTTGCCTACACTGCAGAAGGTCCCACCAGTCCCACACCAAAACAAACAAAAACAGTACCAAGTAAATTTGACTGGGGTTGTTCGCTCACTGTTATATCCTCAATACCTTGAACTGTGCCTGCACATTTAGGTGCTCAGTAAATATTTGTTGAGTGACTGGTTGATATGAAAATAAACCCTGATTTCTGAGAAAGTTTTTGACCTGAATATTTAAAATATAACACAAGGATTAATGATCTTAACAATAACATTTACTTATTTTTAGATATGGGCAAATGTCACCTTACCAAAGGTAAACAGGCTCTGGAGATTCGAAGCAGTTTGTCTGAGAAGAGAGCACTCACTGATCCGATTCAAGGGGCGGCTGCCTCCGCGGAGTCTCTGGTGCGCAACCTGCAGTGGGCCAAGGCTCATGGTATGGTGGAGTCTGTCTCCTGTGAGATCTTCCTGTCATACCGTGTTTGAAATCATAAAGTTTATCTTCTGACTAAATACTTTCTTCTAAATTTTTTATTGAACAATTTTTGGCCCAGTAAGCAAATCTAAAGCTAAACAAATGTTTTAATTACAGACATTGTACACTTAATTATAGACATTGCACTGACTTATTTGATGTTAGAGATTTCAAATTATGTAGCCCATTGTTTTTACCATGGATAAAATTTAATCATGTTCAGTTCTTTTGTCTTTAAAATGAGTTAATTTTTTTATTTGCCTTGTATGCAGTCTTTAACTTCTGTGTTCTCAGTGTTAAAATGTTGTTCAGAATCAAACAGGCCTAGATTTTCACCCAGTCTCCACAATCAGAGAAATATATTGTCTATAAACTCTAGATAAGCCACAGTCCCCACTGCATTGAGTTGGTGAGATTGCGTGCAGTCCACCTGAGAGAAACCATGACTCATAAATACCAGCTGGACCCTCTCTGTGACACTAGATCAGTGGACAGGGTGAGGTGAAAATCATATCTGTAGCTTAATTACTTTTCCGTAATTCTGTGTGACTTAGTCAAAAATAAGTTTATTGACTGAAATATTTAGAATTTTCTTTGAGTTCTAAGTATTCTATGACTCTTACTAGAGATAATTAGAAAATAATTGTATATATTAAACCACTATAAGATATCTTTCTTTTCATAATAGTTTTTGCTATCCAAGCTATGCTTTGGTTTAATTAATAGAGCTCAAAATATATTATCTTGGCTTTCTGGAGAATTGCATAAATAACTCAGATTGAATTTCTTATCCACCAAAAAACTGACAGTAACAAAGTTACAATGGTAAAAATCAACAGTAATCAAAACCTTTCATAAAATGAAAATAAAAGCTCATGTGGAAAGTATTTGTAACAAATCTAATAAATAGATTTTTTTAATATAATTCATATAAAATGAAAAAGTATTAAGGTCTCTACCTCAATGAGTAAACAATCATCATAGTTAGATTAATAATTAAGAAAAAGGAATATAAATAATTAATGTATTTTTAGCCCATCAAATAAATATTTAAGATGTAATAAAACCTCATTTACATCTAAATTGAAAACAATCTGTTTTTTTATGGATTTCTTCAACAATGCCAAAGCATTAAATATATGACATATTCGCTATGCAAGGAATGATAGACCCAGAAATATTACAGATATTCAGGAGTAAATAATGATCAAAATTAGCAGACTATAGCAGTAATATGTTGGTTAAAAATTCTTGTCTGATGCTAGAGTGTAGCTCCGTGGTAGCACATTTATTTACTCAGCATGCAGTAACCCCTGGGTTCCTGTCCAGCACTGAAAAAAAATTCTTGCCATGAAAACATAAGACATCAGTGAAAATGTATCAGTGGTTGTATGTATACTTTTAATTACCACTATGAAAATTATATATGCAGATGGACAACAACTATAGGAAATGAAAATTTAATTTGTTTGGCCAGCAGTGAGCTGCTTTGTTCTATTGTGAAAGTATGTTTTAAAAATAATGATTACAGAGTATTTTTAAGTAGAAGAAAAGACTGTAACTGTATTCTGCCCTATTTAGGATATTTGATATTTTTCAGAAGACTTAGCACTCTTAAAATAATATTTTCTAAATTTTTCTTACTGGTTTCTTCTTTCTGTTTTTCTTTTCTTTTTTTTTTTTTTAGAACTTCCAGAAAGCATGTGTCTTCAATTTCAGTGTGGTGTTCGGATTCAATTAGGATTTGCGGCTGAATTTTCCAATGTCATGATAATATATACAAGTATAGTCCACAAACCACCTGAGATTGTAATGTGTGATGCCTATGTAACTGATTTCCCACTTGTAAGTCCTCTCTTTTCTCTTTTATTTAAATTACAGTGAAACTTCCTTGCTATTAAAGACTAAATTTTTGAACTGAGGAGGTAGTTCAGTGGTAGCATGAGTGAGGCCTTGGGTTCAATCCCCACCACTACTCAAAAAAAAAATCACCTCAAGACTAAACTTTTAAAGACTTAAATCTGATAATAAATATGAAGAAAATACATTAATATAAGTTTACATGTATGTTTGTGTTTTGGTAACACTATCATAGTGTTTAATAATTACAAAAATAGTTTGTCAAATTTGAAAATAGCTATCACTCAGGAAGGGTGCCTTTGACTTATCCAATCCTAAAAAGGATACCAAATGTGAAAGAATTCAACACACTATACATACATGAAGAGTAAGTTTCCAGTATGTTATTGGAACAGCATAAGACTTACTCGTCAAGGTAGGATACTATTAGTGTATTGAAAGAATAGAATTCTAATTCTGTTCTTTCCAAGCAATTAATTACAAAATTTATTTTTGTGTTATTCTAAAAGCGAATAAATAGTGCCCAGTTTCCTACATAGATATAAGAGGTTGAGGAGTAAGCAAGGAGAAACAGAAATGTCTGTTACTTACGGAAGCTTTGTGGAGGACACTGCTTCATGTGTGAGCAGAGGATGTTGCTCAGAACCTGAGAACTAGACAGTGCCCACATCGCAGCAGCGCTGTGCAGGGCAGCCTCCTTGCTGAGGTGCCCAGGCAGAGCCGTGGGCATCCTGTGGAACAGCACAGCACTCCTGTCCTTCGCCCGTTAATTGGCTCTAAAAGGGAAGGACTGACCTTAGCCTGATGGTTTATTCTTCCTACTTACTTTAAGCATATGAATCCCCCTGCACCTTCCCAAAGTGATGATAAAGAGGGAAAGAATCCAAGATTCAAGCACTAGGGTGTTCTTCCTACTACAAAGGAAACCGGAGTATGGAAAAATGTGTTTAGAGAAATAATTTGAAAAAAATTAGTACTACCTTTTTTGTTTTGTGGGGGGGTTGTTTGTTTGTTTGTTTGTTTGTTTGAGACAAGGACTCAATATTTGGTTCAGGCTGGCCTTGGGCTCACTTTGTAGTCCAGGTTGGTCTTGAACTTGCAGTTATCCGCCAGCCTTAGGCCTCCCAAGTGCTGGGATTATAGGAGTGCACCACCATGCCAGCCCCTTTTTTTGTTTTGTTTTGTTTTGTTTTGATTTGTTTTGTTTTGAAACAGTCTTGCCCTAGCCGACCTCAAATTTGGGATCTCCCTGCCTCAGCCTCCTAAGTGGGATTACAAGTGCATGCCATTGTACCTGACTAAATTTACTTTTTAAATATATTTGCACAGGATCTTGAATTCTAATTATAACCATAGAACATCATTTTCATTGTTTCTTTTATCTTGGATAAGGGTCTACCTGCTCTAGCCAAATTGCTGAGAGTTATACCTGTCCATATGTTTTATGTGATAAACTATACTGTAAGTTTCAGTGATTTCATTATAACACTCACTGATTTTTTTTCCCCAGGACCTAGATATTGATCCAAAAGATGCAAACAAAGGGTCTCCTGAAGAAACCGGCAGCTACTTGGTATCAAAGGAGCTGCCCAAGCACTGCCTCTACACCAGACTCAGTTCCCTGCAGAAATTAAAGGTGATTATTTTTCCTGTTAATAGTAACTAGTAAAAAAACTACCTGACACTGAAAATTCTCTAGCATAGACTTTGGATGATGAAGTAGGGAAAACCAGCCTACAGTGGGTCTTCTCAGGGGCCATTTTCGTTTTACACAGCGGTGCCTCAGCTCACAAATGCTCTTGTTTATAAACTGTGTTGGGTGGCAAACACAATCACAGCCATCTTTGCTGCACAAACATGAACCCAAACGTAGCCATCTTTCCCAGAATTGTGGAACAAATGAAGCTCATAAACTGAGGTACCACAGGTTCTGTCCCTGATAGTGGCCTGAGGATGTTTTTGTGAAAAGTCCCTGTGCTTACTCTCCATACAGTTCAGAAGTTAGTAACACAGAGCATACTCTACTTCTGAATACCTTAGCATTTTGAAATAATCACTTTCTTGTTCTGTAAGTTTCTATAAAACATACAAATTAGGATTGAGATATCTTTTTAATCTCTTTCATTTGTACTTGACTTGAAAATGAGAAGCTAGCTTTACATGGTTAGGTTTCCTAATAAAAGCACATCCTTGCAAAAATTGAGTTTTTAATTTATTCATAGCTGAATATCCTAGAATGTCTCAGGCAAAATTTGGGGACTGGAATGGACACTTGACAGTTACATGAAGACAGCAAGCACGTACCTGCTGTCACCTGTCCATACCCAGTCTATTTAGAATCATGTCGTCAAGATTTAGCCTGTTACCTGATTCGGTTATATGTTTCTCTTATGATTCTGGATTATTCATAATATTTTTAAACAGCTTATATTTTTGACATAGGTGTAAAGCCAGATTGCTTTTTATCTATTTGTTTGTAAGATGTAATAATTACACTTGTCTTGGGGAATTGGTACACGTGCATCATCTTTACCTTAAATGATAACTCCCATTTCCAATAATAGGAAAAGGTAAAGTACCAGAAATATGATGTAAGATCTGTACAATCGTGACTGGTTACCAGGGTAAGAACTGGAATTTTACTAAACTCGTTAAGTACTGAATGAAAGAAAAGGAAGCTGATCGTAGCTGGTCTTCCCCCATGTTGGGAGATGGAGAAAGATGCCTTGAGAATTTTAACCCTAATAAAAGGGGCTGAGATTTCTGTTATTGGGTGTGGGAGTGAAATCTCAAGACTGATACATTTTCACAGTTGGTAAAAATGGTGAACCAGCCAGGAACATCTCAGCAACACAAGCCCCTGCCTGGCAAGTCCGGAGTTCCATTACCAGTACCAAAGAAAAAACAGTACTGAGCCTGCTTTCTTTTACTTTTCAGGAACATCTGATCTTCACAGTGTGTTTATCATATCAGTACTCAGGATTGGAGGACACTGTGGAGGAGAAACAGGAAGTGAATGTCGGGAAGCCTCTCATCGCTAAGTTAGACATGCACCGAGGCCTGGGCAGGAAGACTTGCTATCAGACGTGCCTGATGTCCGACGGGCCTTTCCACAGCTCCACGCCGACCTCCGGGGCAGCGGGCCGTTACCCTTCCTCTCAGGGCTCCTTCCATGGCGTCTACCATTCACACCTTGCTAATTCAGAGAGCATTGTGCCGTCAGAGCGATGCCACTGCAGCCGGACTCCTAACGCTTCTAACGCTTTTATTTCAAGTTACCACCCCCACCACTACTCCTGCGGGCTTGGCAGGAGTAACGTGCCGGTGGAGACAACTGATGAAATGCCCTTCAGTGTCTCTGATGGGCTCAGGATTTCTGAAAAGTGACCTTGTTTGTGAAAGTCCGCATAATTACTAGATGCCTCACGTGAAAGAGTACTGATATAAAATGCGGTGTTGTGGCAAGGCAGTGCACATACACGGAGAGAACACTGGGAGCAACTCCTGAATGAGCTCAAGACTTGAGATGATGGAATTACAGTTTTTAACCACAAATGACTTTTTGCTTCTTTTTCTCTTCTTAACTTGTAAATTGAGTTGTTCTCTGAGAACGAAATATGTATGTATGTATATATGTGTACATAACAAAAATATTTTTATTCTGACTATTCTGAAGTGAGAGGAGTGGAAGTGGCCTTATGTGTAGTTAAGTCATTGAACCTGTAACACCAGAAGGACTCCTGCTAGCCTTCAGACCTAACCTGGTGTAGCTGAGAAAAACAGATTGAGTCCTCTTGTCTAAATTACAGCTGGCACAGAACTGAGACCTCTCAAGTTCTATTCCAGCAATTTTTCCACTACATACTGCCTTCCTTATGGCTCTGAGACATTATTTTTTAAAGGAAGGAAGAAAAGGAAGAAGAGAAGGAGGAGGGAGAGAAATGTAAATCTGTATATTATCTAAGTGATGTACAGGCTTTGATTTATGATTATGAGACTTTGGTGCAAGTATCAGTTCCAAGGTTTGTATATAAATCTTACCCAGACCAGGCTTAAATTTTTTGTTTGTGAGGTCATGGAACTACATGAGAGGTGGTTAAAGCTAGAGAGCAGAACTTAAGAATAGAGGCGTAACTGGGCAGTTTTTACACAATTTTTTTTTTTTTTTGGTTTGGTCTTTTTCATTTTTATCGGTACCAGGGATCGAACTCACGACTGCCTGCTTGCAGGGCAGGCGCTTATGCCGCTGAGCTAAACCCCCAGCCCCTATAACTGGGCAGTTTTAATAGCTGCTTATTTGAATCTTCCAGACACTGAAAGTGTCTTCCTTGATAAAATGTATTTCCTTCTTGAATTTTACAGTCTAAAGAGAGAACATTCACTTAGCAGATTTAAAAGACAAATGGCAATAAAAAAAGGAAATGACTGAATTAGTAAATTGAAATGGGCTTATCATTTCTGGTCCTTCCTAAAAACAGGTTTGAAAGACAGCTGGCAGGGCTGGGGATATAGCTCAGCGGCATAAGCGCCTGCCTTGCAAGTGTGTGGTCGTGAGTTCAATCCCTGGTACCAATAAAAACGAAAAAGAAAAAAAAAAGAATGAAAGACAGCTGTCAATCTGGGTTTGGTGGTACATGGCCAAATCCTAGGACTCTTAGTCTGAGGCAGGAGGATTGCAAGTTTGAGCCCAGTATGGACAAGTTAGTGAGACCCTGTCTCAAAATGAAAAGGGGCTCAGTATGAAGTCCCTGGGTTCACTCCCAGGCAAGTAGGAATAGAAAGGCAATTAGCCAGAGAAAGGAAAGAGATTGTAATGTCTAGAGCCTCAAAAGAAAATCCCAGGCCATATGGCCCTACCACTGAATTCTATCAAACATTAGAATTAGTACCAACTCATAGCAAATTCTCCCCAAAAGATGTGAGTGTTTCCCTAATGTGAATCAGATAAGTAGAGGAAAAAAATGCCATAACCACTTCTGCTCAGCTTTGTACTTGAGGTTTTAGCAGGGCTCAAAAAATAAATAAAGGTCATCTGTATTTGAAAAGAAATAAAACTACAAGTTGAACAAATTTCTTGGATACAACATTAAAAGCACAAGCAACAAGGAAGACATTGAATGGGACTTTATCAGATTAAACTTGTAATTTAAAGGCGTCATGAAGAAAATGAATGCTGGATGTGGTGGTACACACTCTAATGCCAGCATCAGGAGCTGAAGCAGCAGAGTCACTGAGAGTTTGAGGCCAGCCTGGGCTACAAAGTGAGTTCAAGTCTAGCCTGAACAGCATAGCAAAACCTTGTCTCAGAAAGAGCCCCCCAAAAAGGAAGCGCCTAGAATAAGAAAAACGTTTGTGAGAAATTGTGTATCTGATAAGACTTGTGAAGAACTCAGTCATAAAAAGATAAATATTTGTGTGTACTTCATGGTGGCTCTCATAGAGCAGCTCTGCCCAGTGACCTCTGTGATGCCGGAAATGCTGTGATCTGTGTTCCTAGTGTGACACCAAACAGCCCCCTGTGGTGGTCATGCAGTTGCAGCGTAGTTCGTGAACTCTGGGATTTTATTTTTGATGTAAGCAGCCACATATGGTCAGTGTCTTCCCTAATGGGCTGTGTGGCCGTGGAGAACTGGAAGGCAAGGAAAAGGAACTTGTTACCTTTCATAGTTTACCCTCTTTGCATTTTTTAAAAATCCAAGTGTGTATTGTACTTACCATTTTAAAACTAAAAGAATGGTACACTTTTTATCAGTCATGTTTTTTATTTTATTTAACTCACAGTTTGCTGTATAATACTGAGATAGGGTTACAAGTTAGAATTAACTTGTCAATACCATTTAGAATGTGACAGAGGAAAAAAGAATGTGAGAGAGAGTAAAATAGAAGTTTGAGCAATTAAAGCTTCACCTAAATCCAAAATGATTATTCGATGCTGGGGAAAAGGATATTTTCTGGAAGTAGTTGAAAATATTTATAAAGTAGCAATTATAAATTACATGTCTAAAAAAAGGAGCACTCATCTCAATACATGGGATTGTTTGGCTATCAAATGAACTGTTACTGATTCAGAGATGAACAAAGGAAATCATCCTTGAGGATGAGCCTTAGAAAACATCTTTAAAGAATACTGACGCAGGCTGAGGCAGGAGGATAGCCATGAGTTTGAGGCCAGTGAGCAACCATATCTCAAAGGAACAACAACAACAAAAAAAAAAAAAAACTGACACTAATGGTGCATTTGGCTCTTGCCTCCTTCCTGTGGCTCCATGTTCAATGCTTTCACAGCCATGACTGGCATAGAAATCTATCAGGCATTCTTAGCAGTCACAGTTTTTTTTACATCAGATTCAAGAAATGCAATCAGGCAGCCAAAGTTTATGTAATTGAGACACGTATGGATGCATGATTAATATGAGAATGAAATCCGATTTTTACCAAGTACTCAGCATTTATCCATTCTTTTGTGCAGTGTATCTGCTTTTTGAGATTGACACTGATGTTCAAATTCAGCCTGAGTCCCTGGCGGTGGAGCTCAGTGTGGTATGTGTACATAGTATCATCACAGCCCTGGGTTCAATCTTCAGTATGAAAAAAAAAATCATAGTTGGATATTGTGAATTTTATCCCAGTTGAACTCAGGGCCTCATGCATGCTGAGAACCTGCTTTAGTTTTGCAGCTCTGGTGTTTTGGTTTTTGGGGGGTTTTTTGTTCTGTTTTGTTTTGGTTGTGACGGTTGTGTTTTGTTTTGTCTTTTACTCCTCTGCCCCTTTATGTGGCATATCATATTAAATAAAATGTTAAAAAAAAAATACCCCCAAACATGAGAATGTTACATAGACACGCTAATCTTTTTTCATTATTTCATGATAAAGATAAATTAAGCGTCAGACACAAGTTTGGCTATGCTGAGAACTGAGGTAATTCAGGGCTTCAGTAGTTACTAATCTTGTGACCTGAAATGTTTTGCTTAATCTATCCCTGTGTTACTTGATGTGTAACATGAGGATTTATGATACTTTATAGAACTGGTAATACTAAAATCATCCCTATAAAGCAGGTTTGGTGATGCATTAATATAATCCCAGCACTGGGAAGCAGAGGCAAGAAGATTGCCACAAATTCAAAGCCAGCCTGGCCTGCATAGCAGGCCAAACAAGAAAAACCAAACAAGAAAAAAAAATCATCTCTATAAACCACCAACTTTCTGCAAAGGAGCTACATTGTTCTTCAAATCAGGCATCCTCAAAACTATCCCTATACAATATAGATTGTGTTTGTTATTAGCATTCATCCCATTATTACCATCATGGCATTGGTGATGCAGAGCTCCTAAAATAAATCAGAGTTGAAGCAAGGCATAGTGGCACACGCCTGCAATTCCAACACTCAGGAGGCTGAGGCATGAGGATTTCTGGGTCTGAGGCCAGCCTGCACAAAGCAAAAACTACCTCGAAAAGACCAGTCAATCAATAGAATGGAGTTGAAGTATGATGGTACAGGCCTGTAATCCCAGCACTCCAAGAGGCTGAAACAGGAGGAACCAAATGTAAGCACCAACCTAAACTCGGCAGGGTGGCTCACGTCTATAATCCAAACACTCGGGAGGTTGGGGCAAGAGGATTGCCATGGGTTTGAAACCAGCCTAGACTACACATCTAGCTCAAGGCCGCCTGAACTACGTAGTGAGACCCTGTCTCAAAAAACAAGCACCAACCTAGGCAATTTAATGATTTAGTAAGACCCTGTCTAAAATGTTTTTAAAGTGGACTGGGACTATAGCTCGGTGTAAAAGATCAGACTTCACTCTCTAGTACTACAAAATAATTAGGGTTGAATTTTATTCACTCTAAAGTCATTTTTCAAAAACTGTAGATTTTTTTTTTTAATTTTATTTAAGAGGAAAAAGAGAAAAACACAAAACAAAACAAAGTGGTGTAAGGGTACACGTAATACAGAACTACAAAGAAAAACATAATAGTAAGAAATCACCTGCTAATAGATTACATATTATCATCTTGGAAATAGTTGCTCAAATCACAGTATCAAAGAATACAAAGTGAACATTCAAACAGAGAGACTGCAAACAGCTGTGTTCAATGATCCAAAAACATTAATATAGTCAGCTATTTAACACCCCTAAACACAATTGCTGTTATATCCATAGAGCTCTTTTTTTTTTTCCTTCTCTTTTTTACAACAAAATTTACACATTTTGGATTTTATTACTCCTAGTCCTTATTACTTTTTTGGGGGGAAGAGAATATAGTCAAATATGGAAAACAAAGCTGCCACTCAAAACCAAGGGTAGACATAGCACATGATGTAGAACAGAGTACAAGGTTATCAACAATGGTTATCAAAATTGTCTCTTGTTTCCTTAAAAAGAATAGTCTATCTCTTTAGATATTATAAAGTTGGACAAAAGAGTAGAGAACAAGACCAATAAAACTTAGGCATTGTAAACATTACAGGACTTCCAAAGGAGACAACAGTCAAACCAGAATGGGCATCTTAGTGAATCTTATTGCCTTCAAAGTAGGTGCTTAGACCCTCAAACTTGATACTATCATATAGAATGGAACAGAGTCTAATCAGTCAAAACAAGATCGTGGGAGTATTACAGGACTTCAAAACAAGTTAACAGTAAATCAAAAAGAGTTACTATAATATATGCTAATTAAAAAAATTTTTCCCCTTAATTAAAAAACATAAGAAATAACTAAATAATTTTTTTAAAGAATAAGGGAGAGGGGCTGGGGATTTAGCTCAGCGGCATAAGCTCCTGCCTTGCAAGCAGGCGGTCGTGAGTTCGATCCCTGGTACCGATAAAAAACCGAAAAAGCAAAAAAAAAAAAAAAAAAAAAAAAAAAGAATAAGGGAGAGATTGAGATAAGCTCCAACATGGCGTGGATCTCAAGAGACACTGCTAGATCTCCCCCTGGAAGGGCTGCAGGCTGCCACCCTGCCTCCACTCACAGGGAGGGGAGATGCTGGCTTGGCTTCCCAGAGACCTAAGCTCCATAAGGGCTAGGATCTCAGGAGACACTGCTAAAAAACTGTAGATTTAATGTTACCAGTTTTTTTTAAATTTTCTTGAAAGAAAGACTAAATAAAACAGAAAATGGGTAGAAATAATACATACGTTCAAAGAAAAACAGTAAGAAATCACTAGTTGATGATTACATGTTGTCCTCTTACAAATAGTTGTTCAAGATACAAAAGTGAAACATACAAAGTGGGGATTCAAACAGCGAGACTGCAAATGGTTCTGTTCAACTATCCAACAAAACTTAGTAATATGTTTATCAGTCCTCTACACTCAAACATACATGCAGTTACCCATATCTTCATTTATGTTGAGATTAAACAGACCAAAGCAGGCTAAAATCACTCTGAACAAAGAATAATAGTATTGCTGGATTTCACATCATGACACTACAGGATCAGCACTGGGTACTATAGTGTCTCTTTTTCTTCAAAGTATTTGTTCATTTCATCATACATTATAAGATCAGTTCCCATAAACTGTTTATGCATTAGTCTTAACATGCATTTCTATCCTTTCTATATTAGAGGGAGAAATAGAACAAAGCAAGACAAAATAAAACATATTCCTATAAACACATGAAATGAAAAAAAGACATTGCACATATTGTACAATTGTATATATTGTACAAGACATATTGTACAAGGAGGTCTACCATGGTTACCGTGTTTTCTCATTATCTTCAATAGAATTGTCTATATCATAGCATAATTTAATATAGCAGTACATAACAATATTAATAAAAGCACAATTTGTAAAGTCTGTCTCAGGGAGGCTCTGTATTCTGCTCTTATCTATCCATCATCTTTACTGGAAGCCCCATGTCACCAGTTCTTTATATAACAAAATACTTTTATTATAGCTATCAACAAAACAAGTCTGAATAGTAATATTTTGCTTGCTTGTATTTCCCAAATTTTATGCAGCAAACAGCTTTTATACACTTTTAAAATTACATGTATATAATTATAGCGTGCGTTCAACATCAGCAAATTTTTTAAAACATTTACTTTTCCTTAAAATCTTCAGTTTAAAAGTGCACAGTACTTTGTGCTTCTGATATCATGAACAATTACAGAGGTGCTTATTACTAATTCTGCCTGTTATAAAACTATGAAAGATGATCCTGGTAAGTCTGCAGTAATTCCACTTTTTCTTATCATGTTTGAGTTTAGTCAAAAACCAGAATTTTTAGTAAAAACACAATAGGTGAGTATTCCTATCTTAGTAAGTTACTGGGCCCAAAGGCCCTAGATGGTACCATTTTCGGTATGCTCCACGTAAACATTGTCTAAGTCTCGGTGCAATTATGAATGAAGAAACTGATTGTGGCTAACCTGAGCTGCACATTCATTCACCCAGGACAACCTAAGTGGTAAGTGCAGAGGCAGGATGACTCAGACCTAACCTGCAGGCCACCGTGACCCCCCCTGCTCCTTAAGGGTTCCACAGTGCTGCTGCTGCTTATGTAACAGCCCAGAAGACAGGCAATCATTGTGGAATCAGTGCAGAAATGCTGTGACATAAAATGGTCTCATTTGATGGAGTAGAAATAAAGATTGTGTATAAGAGATACTTCTCTGAAGCTTGCAACCAACAGTCCTCCTTTGATAACAAGTGAGGCAGTGAATTGCATAAATTCAGTCCTTGTTTTCTAATTGCAGTGGAAAAAGAGCCAAGGTGGTTGCTGATAATATTTCATTATTCCATGAGAAATTTTTTTTTTTTTTTTGGTCTTTTTCCTTTTTATCGGTACCAGGGATCGAACTCACAACTGGCTGCTCGCAAGGCAGGCTCTTATGCTGCTGAGCTAAATCCCCAGCCCCTGAGAAATATTTTTTAAATATTGAAATATTATAGAAGAGATTATTTTTCATCCCTAAAAATAAAAGCCATGGGTCACATTCCAAAAATTTCCAAAATATTTGTTCGAAATTTAATCTGCGTGGTGGAGACATCTGTCTTCATAGGAAAATGTGCTTTGCTTTGCCTTCTTTTTTCTTTCCTTTTTTTTTTTTTTTTTTTGTTTAGTTTGTTTTTATTTTGTTTTGTTTTACGAGAGAAGTTCTTGCTATGTAATTCTGACTGGTCTTGAACTCACTATGTAGCCCAGGCTGCCCTCAGACTTGTGGCAGTCCTCCTGTCTCAGTCTCCTGAGTGCTGGGGTTATTTTTTATTATGATTGTGATTATTATGCAACAATATAGTAATATAATTATTATTACAAGCATGTGCCAACATGCCTAGCCATAAGCTACAGTTTTACCACTTCCAATTTTATATAGAATAGTGATTCCTATATTATGAAGGCTTAGTGTCTCCCTAAAAGAGGTGCAAGAGGTGACAGAGAAAAGAGATGAGAGAAAGAGACAGAGAGGGAGAGAGATGCTGCAGGCTCACACGGGTTGCTACACTGTTACCCCGGCTTGCTCTCAGTTTCTCTGTCCTCATCCCCACCTTGGGTCGGCAGTTTTGTTTCCCTTCCCTCTGTGTGTTGATAAAGTTGACCTCACTGGCTGGAGTCCAGGGGTTTCAAGCTAGCCAGAGCTGCTCACTGAGAGTGGAGTTGGGGCTCCCCCTCCTTTCGTCTGAGAGGACTATGCTCTTACCTGTTTTACTCACTGCCTTTCCCCAGCGCGCTGTGGTTTGCATGGTCTCTCCTGTGGAAGGTTCTAGTCTCTCACTAGCCCCCTAGCCTCTGCTGGAGGTTTTCCTCACACAGCTGTCCCGTACATCTGTCTGCATGACAGCTGAGAAGGCAGGGGAAGGGAGGATCCCAGTTGAGCAGTGAGGCTGGAGCCTTGTAGTCCCTCGTATGGAAAGGTGCTGGCTGGCCAGCCGCTCGGGTCTTGACCAGCAATTTTGGCCCTTGGAGTGGATGGCACCAAATCTGACCCATTTAAATCAGGTGTTATTGCTAACTTGGTATTATGTTTCTTAAAACCTGATTTTACAGCTTGATGCCACACTGTTGGCTTCAGAGGTGCACAGAGACATGCTCACCTCCCTCCCAAGGTAAACCAGTGCGATGTGGTAGACCAGGGAGACAGCACCCAGGGCAGAGCGCTGGGCTCGGCTCTCCCCTGAGGCACGTGTGTGTGGACAACCAGCAAGGCATTTCTATCCGAGAGGTCTTCAGAAGAACCTGATGGCTAATGTTGGCTTGGCCAGCCTCATCTCTAGGCCCGGAATGCTTCCCGGCTGAAAGGTCCTGCCTTAGGCAGCCCGACAGAGCACTGCCGACACCTCTTCCCCATAAACTTCCTGTGCCCGTACATTCCAGAGCTACCTGCAGACTCGCTTGGAGCCCTTTCGGTCATGCAGCTTCCACCCCTTCAGCCTGGCCCTGCCACTCGTCAGGGTGAGTGAGCCACACTGGTCACCAAGGCCCAAGCTGGGGGCTGCAGAGAGCACAAGGCTATTTCGTAGCATTGATTCTGTTCGTAGACTGAAAACAGTGCCACTCATAAGGAATTGTCAGCCCTCTATATCCCCGGGTCAGGATTTGTAGATTTAACCAACTGTACAGCAAAAATGCTCAAGGGTACAAATTCCAGAGAATTCCAAAAAGCAAATCTTGGAGCTGCCGCACACCGAAAGCCTGAGTGCTGACTTCCGGGAGGCATGGGCTCCGGATCCAGGGCCGCCCTCCGCGGTCACTGGGCTTGCCCTCCTCACCCTGCTGAGTGCTGTGTGCTTAGGCCTGCAGAGGCGCATCTGCCCTTCCCAATGCAGAGCAGTGCACCAGCTGTAAACACAGAATTTACATTGCATTAGGTGTCAGAGAAGACTTGAAGGATAAGGGGAGATGGTGCCTAGGCTATCAGCAAATTCCTTAAAATACAGTGCAAGCCTGGAGTAGTGCCTTAATCCCAGCACACTGGGAAACCAAGGCAGGAGGGTAGTAAAATCAAGTCCAATGTAGGCAACTTAAAGACGGAGCAAAGACCTGTCTCAAAAACAGAAATAAAAGACTAGATGTGTTGCTCAGTACAAAGATCTAGGTCAGTCCTCACTACTGCAAAAGAAAGAAGGAAAGAAGGAAGGAAGGAAGGAAGGAAGGAAGGAAGGAAGGAAGGAAAGAAAGAAAGAAAGAAAGAAAGAAAGAAAGAAAGAAAGAAAAGAAAAGAAAGAAAGAAAGAAAGAAAGAAAGAGAGAGAGAGAGAGAAAGAAAGAAAGAAAGCAAAAGTACAGCTTGCTCGCTCACCGGGCTCATGCCTGAGCTCAGTGGCCTGCAGAGGCCTCACCTGCTGCTGTGGGAGAGAATGTGCGGGTTACAGAAAGGGTGCAAGGAGGGCTGCTGCCCACAACCACTCTGTGCGACTGTCACTCTCCTCTCCTTCCTCCCTGGCGCCCCCTTCTATGGTCGCTGAGGAGGAGGAGGAGGAGGAGGAGGAGGAGGAGGAGGAGGAGGAGGAGGAGGAGGGAGAATCATGCAATCCTGTTCTCAAGCCTCAGAACTACACTCAGTTAAAAGTCTTCAAGCATTTCAGTCTACTGCGCTGACAGCTAAACTGAAAAGCATGAGACTGTTTGAATAGCGCTGGAGTCAAAAGAAGAGCCCTGAGCCTCTGCCCTTCACAGAGAAAGTAGACTGCAGAGCTGACGGCTGCTGTTTGTGTGAAAAGCCAGAAGAGGCTGCTCTGTAGAGATGGAAGGTGGGTTAGTGGGTGCCAGGGACCATCGGGGAGCCTGGAGAGCACCAGCTACTGGGTTGGAATCTATTCGGGGCGTGATGGCTGCATGACCTGTAAATCTGCTAAGTACGCTTTTTAATGAGTGAGTACGGCTGGGGATACAGCTCAGCGTGCACAGCGCCTGTCTGGCAAACACAAGGTCCTGAGTTCCATTCCCAGTACCGTAAATAGAGGAGTATACAGCGTGGAAATTACTTACAGTAAACTTTAAAAAAAAGGAGTGTAATTCAGTTTTCTGAGGCTCTTTGATTTGTGGATTTTTCTTTTTAAAAGTAAATCATGCCAGGCATGGTGGCATGTGGCTGTAATCTCATCTCTTGGGAGGCTGAGGCAAGAGGATTTGAACTCTTAGATCAGTGTGGGCTGCATAGTGAGTTCAAGGCCAGGTAAGACCTACACAGTATGACCCTGTCTCAAAACAAAATGACACACAGCAAAAAATCATATCCCAAATGTACCACTAACTCTCTTTCTGTCCTCTTTCCTCTTCTCCAATTTCAAAGACAGCACAGGAAAAGTTAAGTGCAGACACGCTGCAAAGAGTAGGTAAATTTAGAGAGGTTTTAATCTGTTTTTTATTATTTAATTTCAACACACTTGAAGATATGGACAGCTATTTTGAAGAGAACAAGAGATGTTATAATAGCCATTGTTGATTTTCCTGTTGTCTAGTTTTGATGCCTTTATTACTCTGTTTTGATCAGTTTTATACTATTTTGTTTTGTATGAATTCATTGTGTGTGAAGATATAGATCACCATTTAAAATAAAACAAGAGACATTATGGTAGCCACTGTAGATCTCTTGTTGTCTTGCTTTGAAATCTGTGTCACATTGTTTTCTTCTCATCTGCTTTGTTCTGTTTTGTTATGGTTTGTTTTTACCCTCTTTAAAATAAGAAAAGAAGGTGGAGGATGGCACCAAAGGGGCTCCATGATCCACGGCTGCCACCTCTGTGTGGGCAGCAGCCCCTCCTCATTCACTGAAGATCAAGGTGGCCAGGGGAGGAACAGAGAGGGAGATCCTCACAGGTCCCTGTGGGGTTGGCTGTCCAGCTTGTGGAAGGCACAGGAACTGGCTGAAGCGGGCAGTTCTGGATGCCAGGTAACAGAACCCCATACAAATGAACTTAACCAAAACTGAACTTGTGCTACAGTGCTTTAGAACATTCTAGAATGCAGGGACATAAGACACAGGTAAGATCAGGAAGGATCAGAAAGCCACCAGGAGCCAAGGCACTGTCTTCCCAGAGTGATTTTCTCCCTGTCCTCAAGGGCAGCTCAGAAAAGGGCCATCCAAGCCCTGTGTTTCCTCTGGTTCCAGAGCCACACCTACAGAGAAGCTGAGCCTCAATTCCAAATTCTTCATTGGTTTAGTCCAGCTAGATACATCTGAATTTAAATTGACTGTAAGTATGCAGCTGGTATTTCCTTCTTTTTTAAAATTTTTTATTATTTTGAAGGTAGTAAAATACAACAGAACAAGACAGAACAAAGCCAATTAAGACAGTGCAGTGAAATTGGTACAGAACTTCACAGCAGGTTACCAGGATAACAGTAATAGGTACCATACTATATCTTGGTATCTTCACAATAGTTGTCCTTTCAATCAGGTATAGCAAAATCAAACCAAATACAGAACATTATAGAACTTATCAAAACAGAATATTGAATAGAGCAATACCATTAATCAGAAGAAAGCAAAACAGTGATAAGAATATTTGCCTTCTTAGAGATAGTAGAAGGAAACTCCCCTTATTTGCTGTATTGCATATGGTCAGCCTCCCAAGAGATGCTCAGACCTCTGGCTCCCATTTGCTAATGGGGGGGTTGGGGGTGGGATGTTTCATTCTCAGTCTGCGCATCAGTGGGCTCACAGCTGTTTGCCAGGGGGGCGAGCAGGTTGCTTGGTGTCCCACTGCCCTAAGTTCCAACATGACATGGATGTTGGGAAACACTGGGTGGTTCTCTCCTGGGGCAGCCGCAGCTTGCCCAAACCATCGCTCCTTACCGGGGAGGGGAGCTGGTTGCTTCACCTTCTTATCATACATATGAAATGACTACTTCCAAATTTAACCCATTTAAAAGAAAACACAGTCAGAAAACACAGGGGTGCACACCTATAATCCATGCTACTTGGGAGGCTGGGGCAGGAGAATCAAAACTTTGAAAGCAATGTAAGCAACTTAGTGACTTAGTGACACCCTACGTCAAGATCCAAATGACCAGGGCATCAGCAGATCAGTGGTAGGGCATTTGCCTAACATGCATGAGGTGCTGGGTTCCATCTCCAGGAAGGCAGGAACCAGGCCGGGGGGGGGGGGGAGCAATCAATGGGGAAAGCCCTTTGACACACAGGCTTCAAGAACCTACACACTCTGATCTACAGGAGACACCAGGCACCAGGCCGGGGACTAAGAGAGTTGAAGCCCCACTGTGGAGCCTCATTCCTGCTTCCTCTCATCTGCAGTGCTGTCTGCTGTAGGGTCATCGCTGACATTAAACACCTCAGTGCTACACAGCTTACTAAAGAGCTTACCATCCAGTAAAAACCCAGCAGCTCTTACTCTTATTATCACCAAAATAAAATTTGGGCCTCCCACTGGGTTATTGCCCTGGAAAAAGAAGGAAGATGTGGTGAGCTGAACGGTGGTCCTGGAAGGCTGTGGTCATCCACACAGCCATGAATGTGACCTTTCTCGGACTTAGGGTCTCCGGCTCTGACCTGGAGGTGTGACTGACTATTGGTGAATGCTGCTGCCAGGCGCTGTCCAACAGAAAGGCAGGCATCTTCCATACAAGAAGCCCTGCGACCTCAGCAACAGTGTGGGACAAGCTTTGACTCGTTCAGTGCTGTTGTGATCGAGAAAAGGTGTGTTTTGACGTATGCCGTACATCGTGAACAAGGCATGTTCAGTATGAAAATGACATGACAATATGAAACCTTGTCTCAAGCTACCAAAAAGTGCTAAAGAGTCACACAAAACACTGAAATTAGTTTATGGTGATCCTGCCATGACCATGAAGATGGTTTGCTAGTGGTTTATAGTGGTTGTGAACGTGTTAAACCAAGAGAGACAGTGATATCCTTCAACATCCAAGCCCCAAGAGCATGTTAACAGAGAAAACAAAAGGATTCAATCAGATGGGCGATCAACTAGGAGGGTAATCTCTGAGGCACTGAGTATCTTGTGGTTCCATTCAAAGCATCTTAACAGATTTCAACATGAGGCAAAGGAGTATGAAATTTATTCCACTCAATTTGACTGTCAACCACAGCACAGTGTCAAGTTCATTGAGTTGCAGTTGGTGCCACAACAGAGCCCAGCCCTGTGGGAAATGTCAGTCTGGGAGATGGACTTTGGTTTCCATGATTATGATCATGAGATACTGTTCAGGGTTCTCCATAGAAATCACCTCCTCGTTATGCAAAAATGTGCATGGTTCAGTGTTCAACATTAGAGTAATACAGACTGTGTGTGTGTGTTTTTTTTACCTTGATAGAATTGTGTGAGCTTAATTTGTATCCAGCAGCACTACAGTGAATTCAGAATATTTTGAGAGCTTATTGGAGCACTAAAGAAACAACGTGCAGAAAAACACCTGAGAAATTGGCAGATTCATCATCCTCCATCATGACAATGCTCTGTGTCACACATTGCTTTTGATGTGGCGATTTCTGTCAGAAAACAAAACAAAACACTACCTGTGCCATCTTCTGTCTTATTCACTGAGTCTGATACCATTTAACTTCTGGCTCTTCCCCAAAGTCAAAATGACCAGGAAAGCTACATGTTTTGAGTCAGTTCAGGATCACTCACACATACAAAAGCATGACTTCTAGAACTGCTTCAGAAAGTGGCAGAAACACTGGGTGTGGTGATGCACACTTAATCATCCCAGCACTTGGGAGGCTGCCGCAGGATGATTGCCCTGCGTTTGAGGCCAGCCTGTGCTATGTACATGAGCTCGAGGACAGCCTGAATTATAGAATATAGACTGTGTCTCAATAAAACAGCACAAAACAAGTAGGAAAAACAATAGGCTAAGTGTGTCCAAAGCAAGAGGAAATATGTTGAAGGAGACTGTTATGGCTTGTGTCTAGATGTCCCCCCAAAGCCTCATGCAGTCATGGGTGGGGTTTTCCAGAGGTGGCTGGATCTAGATGTGTGATGTTGGGACCAAGGGAGACCTACACTGGGTGTGGCTAGCACTGCCTCAGCATAGGTAGCCTGGGTGAAATGTGCAGGCAGGCTTGGCTGCTGCCGCCGCTGCCGCTGCTCTCTGCTCCCCGCTGATGCCCTCTGCTTTCTGTCTTCCTGACAACAGCTGTTTCTCCTCTGTGCCACCACCTCCTTGGAGGTAGCTAACTGTAGCATGAAACCGCTACAAATTGCCAGCTCACTAAACTGCCCCTCTAACTTTGGGTGTTGGATATGTTGTCTCAACAATGAGAAAAGTAACTAACACAGGGATTAATGGTAAAAATAGGATTTTACTATAATGAATTTCTTGTTTATTTTTATTAGTAAATGTTTGCAGCCCATAATCATTACATTCCTCATGAGGAGTTGGCACATGTGCACAACACAAAGTAATTCTTTTTCTTTCCACTTCTCCTTCTCTTCCTCTTTTCCTCTCCCTCCGTTTTTTTAATTTAAAAATTCACCTTTTTAAAAAAAATCACATCTTGTAAATTAAGGATTTTTGTAAGGGAGGTGGATGGCAAAAACCGGTACGGCCAGTATTCAGGAAGCTGAGGGGAGGATCAGGAGTTCAAGGATCGTCTGGGCTATACAGTGAAACCTTCTCTCAAAAAAACAAAGAAAAAACCCTAAAGCTAAGGCTCTACATGCATCACCCTGGACTGGCGCGGATCCTAAATCCGACTGCAAACCGAGCCCCAGAGACTGCTTGGCGACCGTGCATAATCGAGAGGGCGGGGTGGACGCGCAGCTGGGCGAGGCCGCAGCACCCCGCGAGCTTCTGAGGGACGCGACCCTGGCAGCCCGTGCCACCCTGCAGTGGCGATCTTGCAGCTCTGGGCTCTAGAACGCGGAAGAAGAAACTTCCGTTGTTTTAGGCTACCGAGCTAGAGGTGCTTGTCACAGCAACGTTGGGAGCGAGACTCGCGATTTCTTTCCTAAAATCCACCTCTTTGTTTTCCATTAGGCTTCCGGGGCCTTGAGACCGTCTGTTGCAGTCTCTGGCGCCGCCTTTCGGCCCAAAGAAAGAACTGTACCCTCTTCAGTTCCACAGCTGCTTCAGATGGGATGAAATGGGAGCATAGGGGAAGTCTCAAATCTCAGGCAGAAATGTAGCTGCCAAGAAAAAATCACAGCGTTTAACATTCCCCCTTAACTGGAGAAGAGGTCTTAGCATCTTATGCTCCAACGTGTCCCCTCTGATCACTCGGGAAATTCACCTCCAGTATGACAGCCAGCTCAATCACTTTTCTGTCTTGTTTCCTTGACTTCTGGGCTACACAGTGAAACGGAGCCTACATAACCCTGTAGCAAGCCTGGACCTTGTACACTTCCATGCAGCTTAAACCGTCCATTCTTGAAGGAATCAAAACTATTAAACCATTGACCCTCGACTGTCACTACCCTCTCGTGACTTAACATCTATTCCTGTCTCACCTGGATTTGTCTATTCAGGTTCATCTTTCTGTCCCTCTCCTATCTCCCATCCACGGCTCATCCAATGCTCGTTTCCACTGTCTTTATCTGGGAAAAGTCAACCCTGACCATCTTCTACGTATTTCTCTCTACTCAGAGCCCTCGTTCCACGTCCCTCCTCCCACTCTTGATGAGGGCCTTGCCTTGCTTGTCCTTAGGGAAACAGAAACCACCACTGAAAATTGAAAGCTGTCTGAGCCACACAGTACCGTAAGCCTCTTTCCACAACTGTATGGTTGTTTCTCCCTTCTGTTGTAATCCAAATATTGAATATTGTGATCCAAATGTTGTGTATTGTAACCCAAATATTGTAATCCCTTTTCCGGCCCTCACAATCCAGAAAGTTATATTTGGTTTTCTTGTTTTGTTTTGTTTTGTTTTGCTTTGTTTTGTTTTGTTTTGCTTTGTTTTGTTTTGTTTTGTTTTGTTTTGTTTTGTTTTGTTTTGTTTTGTTTTGTTGGTACCAGCGATTGAATTCATGACACAGGCTTGCCAGGCAGGCAGTTGTGCTGCTGAGCCAAATATCCATCCCCAGAAAGTTATATTTGTAATCCCATTGAAACATTGTTGGGATCCCGGCAAGTTAATTCCAATCTACCACCTCCAATGCAACCCACAGTGAGTAGTAAAGACACTAAGACATATTCAAAGTTAAGGGCAGCCAAGGCACCCTGATTCTGATCCAAGTGAGGATGTGCAAACAAAGGCCCTGGCCCAGGCCTCTCCCAGAATTTATTATCTCATGAAGAAAGTGGTTCAAGGGTGAGTGACAGTGAGGATGGTGGGAATTACGTGAGCAAGGTGAGCTGAGCTAGCTGGTCAGAGCACAAGCACCTCTGCCATATTCAAGGAGAAAAACACACAGAAAGACCAGTCTGCATAACTCAATCGGGACAGCATGTGAATGGGTTTAGGAGGCTGTTGCTTCGGTTTCTGATATGTGAACTTTAGTACCCTGGGAAGTTATAGCCTCTTATTTTGGGGCTTGTACCCAGTCAACATTTCTGGAGCTGGCTGGCTCTGCCATCCTACTGCATTCAACTGTTTAACAGGGAACACAATTCCAGGACATTGTCAATTGGCCTTAGAGATTATATATCTGTACCTCAGCTGGCCTATTGCTTTGCTTAGAGCCAACTGAAGGGATAAGGAAACAACATAGCCAGCTCTGGACATACCAGTACACGGAGACAGGGCCCAGTTTGAACAATGCGGAGGGAATAGATCTGCATTCAGGGAGACCTGCCCACTGGTCTTCCCTACCTTCCACAATGAAACATAGGTCCTTCTCCTTAGCTAACTCCCCTCAGATACTCTGGGTCCTTTTGTTTGTGTCCAGAATTTCATTTACTTATCTTCTACCTCGGCCTCTTTCCTACCTTACCCACTATTTTTTTTTAACTGAGGACCAAATCCAGGAGCAATCTACCATTCTATTACTGAGTTATATCCCCAGCCTGGCCTCAAACTTGTAATCCTCCTGTCTCAGTCTCCCAAGCAGCTGGGATTACAGACAAGTATTATCATACTCAGCGATACCTTTCTTTTTGACTACACAAGACTCTATTGTCAGAGCCAGCATAATGGGCACATGGCTCCTGACGTCATGATCTATTTTTCTTTGCTTCTCCTCTACGTCAGCAAGAGAGTAGTCTGTATAAACTGTAAATCATCTCTGCTTCTAATTGCATCTCACCTTGGTAACTTACTCCATCTCACTTTGCCTCCGTTAATTCTAAAAGTTTCATTCCAATACTTTTCTCCTGGAATTGTGCAAGCTGAAGTTTGCAATGGCCTCAATTTTTTCAAGTCAGTAAGTGCTTTTCCAGTTTCTTATTTGCCATCTCAGAAGCCTACTAATTACTTTTCTTGCACTGTTCACCATTAGCAAGTATAGAATTTTACATTTTTTGTCCCTTTCCACCAACTCTAAGCTCTGTGGGTGAGATAGTGTGCCAAATGCAGGGCCTGGCGCTCTATGTTTACTGGGTGAATGGATGGATGTGCAAGAAAATTAAAGATCCTGATAAGAATTCAAGTGATCAGGGGCTGGGGATTTAGCTCAGCAGCATAAGCACCTGCCTTGCAAGCAGGCAGTCGTGAGTTCGATCCCCGGTACCGATAAAAAAGGAAACAGATCACACACACACACAAAAAAAAAGCTAAATAAAAAAAGAATTCAAGTGATCAAGCCAGATGCAGTAGCACATACCTGTAATCCCAGCACTCAAAAGACTGAGGCAGGATGATACACAAGTTCAGAGCCAGCCTGGGCTACATAGTGAGTTCAAGGCCAGCTTGAACTAGTGAGATCTTGTCTCAAACACACATACACGGGGGTGGGGGGTTCCAGTGATCAGTAATGTGTAAACTTAATGTGGAGATTTTTTTAAAGCTAGAAAGATATGATGAACCAAGAAAAAAAAGGAAGGGCCAAAAAACATGGTATGGAACGGTCATGAGCAGCCATGAGCAGTGCACGCCCAGAACTCCCGGGGTCAGATGGCTGCTGTCAGATACGGATGCTGAAGTTCAGGATTTCTGAGTGGGTGCTGCTGAGAGTGAACACAGTGTTACACCCCTGTCATCCCAGTGCCCTACGAGGCTGAGGCAAAAAGGATCACAAGTTCTGGCCTAATCTGGGCAATTCAGTCACTTAATGAGACTCTTGCAAAATAAAAGGGCTGGAGGTCTAGCTCAGGGCAGATTTCCTGTCTTTGATCCCCAGTACCATAAATTTTAAAATGCATCTAGTTCTGGGGTGGCTGAGAGCGTGGGTGCATTGGATAAAC